AACTGATTTTACTTAGATTTTACTGGTGGTTTTATCTTTTTGTTGCATTGTTTTATTATGTTTTGTATTGAGTTTTTAGTGTGTTGACACACTTTAAATGCGGTCAGTGTCATTTTTTATGTTCATTTATCATTTTTTTCTCTATCTAAAACCCAGTGTAAATGTTACTTGTACATTTCTTTTAGYTGTACCAACAATAACCCTGCAAATGACACTAAGGTCAACATTGTGACCTGCATGCACAGAAATAAAAAAGGATGTCATATTCAGCCAGTTGTTTGTTTAGAGTTAGCTAAAAATGGTACTTGTAGCATATAATTCTGAAGCTGTTGTTCAACTTTGTGCACTCCTGGAAACTCCAAGTACACAACAAAATGTATTTACGTGGAGTTTTCATAATATGTCCCCATTAAAAATCCTCTTGTACTTTGTACACAGCAGGAGGGACACTTGCTGTAAAAAAAAAGTAAATAGGCTTCGATCATACTGCAGGTCTTAATGCTAAATTGTGATTTTTTTTTTCACAAAAAAAAAAAAACAACTTATCAATTAGGTGTTTTTTTCCATCCACCCCTGCTCCATTTAACCGGTCCTCTTTCATTACTTTCTCATCCAGTCATTACATGACTTTGCCTAGGTCCTCACCTTCGCGCTTCTGTGTGTTTTATTTTGTAGTTTGCCGCCATGTCGGTTTTTGCTTGCTTTTAATTTAAAATTAACACTAACATGTTTTTTTTCTTAGTTTGCTTTGCAGCTTGTTCTACCCCATTCTCAAATGACCCAAGTAGGGGTCTTTAGAGGATGGGGTAGGTACATTGCAAAAATGCAGCTGGAACAGTTTGCTTTGTAAATTATCATGACTTGTCTTTAAAATCCCCACAGACAAGGAGTAAGGCATTAGGAATTTTGGAAAGCCAAAAATCTATTTTTGACTCTAGGGAGTCAAGCATACTTATATTCTCTCTACTGGAGTTGTAGACATAGATATTTACAGTACAATTATATATATTCTATTGTACAGTCCGATCACCTGAAAAATAGTGTCTGCAGGGTCCGATTCTGAGTGCATCTCCATTAAAGGCATTATAGCTGTAGTGACGCCAGCTGAACACTCTGTACCATGGGAAAAACACATGCCTTCCAAAACTTTAAGTCATCTGGTAAAAAGTGTGATTCTTGGAGAAAAATGAAATCAGTATTTAACTGTTTAGCAAATAAAAATAAAGCTTTACACTTGTAGTTCTGTCTCAAATCCTGGCATTAAGAGAAACTATAGATAAAGACACAGTAACTTGGAAAAAAAAAACTTTCCTCTGAAGCAGCTTTGTTTTCTATGGTGGAGATTTTTTCTTTCATACTTTTTATTTCTGCACAGGCAAAATCAATGGTCTTCCTTCAACCTTCAATTTTCCTTTTGTGCTAACCATTTCTTCAATATTATCTGATCTTGAGTTACTCAGGGCAGACAGTGATGAAACAATGTTATCAGAGTTGATTGGATCAGCTTTTTCATTCACACACATTTTTTTGGAACAAGAGACTACTGGGAGTAACCGGAAAAGGAGGAAACTCATCATCTTCAGAGGGTGACAGAGATGCACAGCATGTGGAGTCRTGGAGGTTGTCTATTAGCATATTGCCAACTTTAGCATTAGCTTTGAGAGCCATGGCTTTAGATTCCTCCGAGGCTCGACTTCTTTCAGGCTTAAGGCATTTAGTTCGTTCTTTCTGTTTTGATGGTATAGGGGCATCAAAGTGGTGAAGATTTATTTGAAGAGAAGGTTTAACTCAGCTAAACTTATCAGCTCCTGGCGAATGTGTGCTCTCACTCGGCCATCTTGGTCCACCCCCATGGATATTTAAAAGTAGTTGAAWATTCACCCTGTTGGATTTCACTTCCTGTTTCTTGGTCATACATTTGTTTACTTGATATCCTCACTGACTTTGAGAAGAAAGAATCAAAGTTCAGAACCGTCACAGACCAGAGTTGAGTCTAGTCCAGCACCATGTTGGTCTCCATAGTTCTGCTGTGGTTCTGTTTCTGCTTCATTCTCTTTCAACTTAAAGCTCGGAGACCCAAGAACTTCCCACCAGGACCCCCCATCCTGCCGGTACTGGGGAACTTCTTTCACCTGGCCTCAAAGAACCCCCTGAAGAACCTTGAAAAGGTAAAGATACCAAATTGAAGAATTTTTGTTCTTTAATATATCATTTCAAGGTAAAATATGTTTTTATAATTTTATGTGATTCATCCATCCATTATCTGTATCTGCTTACTCCTTTATTTGATTCAAATGTTGACAAAACTGAGGACAGAGTTCATTTTTATTCTGAATTACAGGTAAACTTTATCTACCTTTTATCAGTCAGCAGAAAATATACTGTATATGTTCTATAGTGTTTATATTTTGAGTTAGAAGGCAACAGTTTCTCTGCAGCAGCACTAATGGTGCGTTCACACCGAACGCGATTTCAGCGTCAGGAGCAGCAGGTTTACATGCAAAGTCTATGGT